ATTTGAAGGTAATTTTGGAAAGCTTTTTTTTTTGAGACAGAGCCTCAAGCTGTCCCCCTGGGTAGAGAGCCGTGGCATCACAGCTCACAGCAACCTCCAATTCCTGGGCTCAAGCGAGTCTCCTGCCTCCGCCTCCCAAGTAGCTGAGACCAGAGGCGCCCGCCATTGTTGTTTGGCGGCCAGGGCTGGATTCGAACATGCCACCTTAGGTGTATGTGGCTGGCGCCTCAGCCACTTGAGCCACAGGCGCCGAGCCTTGGAAAGCTTCTTAAATCTATCTTTTAATTATCACTTTTTAAATTTTTAATTGTGATATAATATATAAATATAAAATTCACCACCTTTGAGAATGAGAAAACCACCAGCCTTTTTAATTGTAAAGGTCAGTAGTGTTAAGTATAGTCACAATTTTATGCAAAGGGCCTCTAGAACTTTTACATATTGCAGGACTAAAACTCAATACCCATTAAAAAGCTGCCTGTTTCACTCTCTTTCTAGACCTTGACAAAGACATTTCTACTTTTCTGGTTTTTTGAGTTTGGCTCCTTAAAATATCTCATAAAGGGGACTTACAAACTGTCACTTTGTTACTAATTTCAGTTAACGTAATTCTCATAGTTTGTCCTTATCATTGCCTGTGACTAGAGTTTCCTTTTTTTAAGCAGAATAATAATCTATTGTATGCACATACTATATTTTTGTTTTTTCTTTTAGCTTTTATGACTAATGCCACAATGAACAGGGGTACACAAATGTCAATTCCAGGCCGTATGCCGCCTATTTTGGATACATACTCAGAGGTAGGATTGTTACATCATATGATAATTTTGAGGAACCTCCATACTGTTTATTATAGGGGATATATCATTTTTCTCATCAAGGGTACCAATTTCTCCAAATCCTCAACACCTTTATTTTCTCTGTGTTTTACTGTGGTCATTTTAATACGTGTGTAGAAATATCTTACTGTGATTTTTCTTTTCATTTTTTCTAAAGGTTAGTAATTTGAGCATCCTTTCAAATGTTTATTGCCCATTTATATACTTTTTTTTTGATAAATGTCAGCCTAATCCTTACAAAAAAAAAGAAAAAGAAAAGGCATTTTCCACAATGGTGCCAGAATTGAATACATATATGAAAAAACAATCCTTTGGAATTAATTTTAGTATCATAAGGTTACTCCATCGTAAGTGTTCATAAAATAATACTTACATTTTTTATTTTAATGTTTCCCCAATCATCATCCTGTTTCAAAGACAAATAAAAAACATTTAACCATCTCTGCACAATTTGAATATAATCTAATAATCAACTAATTTTAAGCTACTTCAAAATAGGATAAAATTTATTCTATATGCAGATTTAATTTATAATTACTATCAAAAAAAATTTTTAAACACACACAGTCCTAAAACCACTATGTCTAACAATAACTTAAAACTGTATACAATAACACAACCTAAAAGATCGTAAACTTGCCAATATCAAGTACTAAAAATGTGCTTATAGTACACAAAACACTTTTAGCAAGTACGAATAAACACTTGACTGATGACAAATGACAGATCCTTTCTGCATGTCTGTAACCAGCAAAGCTAATTTATAACTAGCTCATATAACAAGAATAAACAGTAATTGATGAAATAAGGTCTACATCCAAACTAGGAGTCTCTTGAGAATGCAAGTGCTATTAAAAATTATACCAGACCCTTGAGAATACAAGTGCTATTTTAAATCATACCAGAAGAGTAGATCAGGCTTCCCAAAGCAACTCTTAGTAATATTTGCACATTCAAAAATGCTTCCAATTCTAAGTTTCACAACTATGAAGCAATTAACAAAATTCAAGATTTTTTTTTTAAATGCCACGCTTGGTCCACAGATTTTCTTTTTTAGAGACAGAGTCTTACTTTATCGCCCTTGGTAGAATGCTATGGCATCACAGCTCACAGCAACCTCCAACTCTTGGGCTTAAGCAATTCTCTTCCCTCAGCCTCCCGAGTAGCTGGGACTACAGGCACCCGCCACAATGCCCAGCTATTTTTTGTTGCAGTTTGGCCAGGGCCAGGTTCGAACACGCCACCCTCAGAATATGGGGCTGGTGCTCTACTCACTGAGCCACAGGCACTGCCCAGTCCACAGATACTTTAACTTACTGCAGCTAAGCCTTCCTTTCACAGGATAAAGTCAGTTCCATATTATATTTTTTTTTTTTGGCCAGGGCTGGGTTTGAACCTGCCACCTCTGGCATATGGGGCCAGTGCCCTACTCCTCTGAGCCACAGGCACCGCCCAGTTCCATATTACTTTTTACAGAGGGTACCGGGTATTCAATATTCTTATCCCCCCACCCCATTGGTACCACTAATTCTCTCTTTGGACACTCTGCTTTAAGGTGAAACAGTAACTTCCTAATGGCCCTTCTCAATGAAGGGCTATTAATGCAAATAATAACTATAAATGTGCCCTCAGATTACTTACCCAAAGTCACACACAAAGCTGGAAACTGAACTCAGATCTACTTGACTTGTGAACTGCACACTCTTTTGGTGCCTATTTTTACTTAAACCGCTCTAGTGCTCAGCTTCCCCTTTATAAAATATGGATAAAACATACAATAGCAATCATGATTCCACTTAATTACCATTTTTCTTTTTTTCTTTCTTTCTTTTTTTTTTTTTAAAGAGACAGAGTCTCACTTTGTCACCCTTAGTAGAGTGCTATGGCATCACAGCTCACAGCAACCTCCAGCTCTTGGGATTAGGTGATTCTCTTGCATTA